AGCCCCAATACAGGGATGAGTGTCTTTATCATAAACTTTGAGAAAGGAGAAGTGAAACCAACCACCCAGTGTGTGTGTGTGAACCTACAGGGCCACCTGACCGGGGTGACCAAAATTCACTAAATTTAAATCTGCATCGAAATCTAACAAATGTGAACCTCTGAGGGAGTGCCTTTGACTTTATTTCCACTCTCTGCTAATGCAGACTTGGAAACAGTTAAAAAGCTGTCCGTTATAGCAGGTTATAAAGCTCGAATGGAATCAGAGTCACATGAAACACTAATGGAAAACCATTGAGAATTGACTTCTTTTTTGTGAGTACAGTTGGAATTTTCCAGGGTAATTTTACTGCCCTGCTCAGTGACATCTCTGGATTGTAAATGGACGAAGGAACTGAGTATTGCAAACTGGGGGATTAATAATCCTGTTACTTTTTTTTTTGCTTTGCTTTTTTAATGTCCTGGTTTTTTTGGTATTTTTCTTTAATGTCTGAAAAATCTGGCCTATTTTATTGGCTCTTGGTAAGATACTGTATGTTTTCTTTTTTACTGTCTCATCCAGTTCTTGGAAGAGGGAACTATTTGTAATTTCCACTCCATATTTATGTGAAAATATGTTATATTCAAAAAGTTCTTTAAAGGAGAAATGCTTGCCGTCATAGTTTATGTAAAAGCAAACGACACTAAATGTTTAATACAGAAATCAACTGTTGGAATTGTTTACTCTGCAGGGTTTGAGATGCAGATGAATGTGAATTGTGGTTGCAGAATAGTCTCGTGAGGAAGAAGCATCATCTGATTACAAAATTTTTAAAGAAGGAATCTGAGTGGAGGAAGAGGAAAGAGCAGATCTTTCTTATCTAAGCTGTAAGCTGAAGAATTTAGTTTGAAGGTGGCACTAAAGAAAGTAAACGGTTGCTTCACAGTAGCCCCAGAATAAAAGAGGGGCTTCACTGAAAAGAACCGTGGTTTTTTTGTGGAAGGTACAGATGAGGTTTCCTCTCTTTTCCACCAGATGGCACTGGAGAAAAGGGAGTTTGGTTACCTTAATTCTGTACAAAAGATGGGTCCCTCTGAGGCCCTCATGTAAATGGAGAACGTGTTTTCCATGCAGTTTGCTTTTAAATTATCATATTGATGAATGCTGTGAGTCTCAGCTCACAGAGGGTAGGACTGAGGCTGTCAGTTAAGGCTAAAATCACGTGTAGTCATATTTCAAGTTCAGGATCATGCTGTCCTTAGTGTGTCCAGCGCTGCCAGTGTTCGTTCCAGTGCTGGAGCAGAGCATGTGGTTGAGCGCAGAGGAAGTTCACTGCAGACGAAAAGTTGGAAAGTAACCAAAAAGGACAGATAATAAACGTCCACATCCCTGCCACCCAGAAGTAATATTCCCCCCCTTTTTTGAAAAAAGAAATAACACATTGCGATGTAAGCCAAGTTCCTTTAAGCAGCTGTCGCTGTCCTGTTCCCTCCTGTTCTCTACAGAGACAGCCAGCACCGCGAGTCTATATACCCATCCATCCTTCACGTGGCCACCTAGTGTCATAAGGGAACAATGGGTTCCCTTATGGGAACCCATTAGGGTTCTGGTGTTTTTAAACAATGGTATTGTTCTGGTGTTTCTGGTCTTGATACAAAATATCAAGCTGTCTGTATTCTGTATTTTCACTTATTACATATATCTTGGGCTTCTATATTAGTATGTATAGATAGATCTGGTTACTTGTAACCACTGTATTGTACAAAATAAATGTAGTACATTAAAAAAAAAAGTCATCCTGGGGCTTCCCTGGTGGCGCAGTAGTTGAGAGTCCGCCTGCCGATGCAGGGGATGCGGGTTCGTGCCCCGGTCTGGGAAGATCCCACATGCCGCGGAGCGGCTGGGCCCGTGAGCCATGGCCATTGAGCCTGTGCATCCGGACTCTGTGCTCCACAACAGGAGAGGCCAGAACAGTGAGAGGCCCGCGTACCGCAAAAAAAAAAAAAAAAAAAGTCATCCTGGTAGGGATACTGTAGAAACTTTCAAAAATATAATTTATAAATATCTATATACATAAACCAAATGTTTAAAGACACTTGAAATTATGCAAAAGCTCTGAGTTTCCTGTTTCTTCTTACCTGGTAACCTAGAAGTAAATGCCATTATTAAAAATTATACTTTTTCAACTTTTCCTTGAGAAAACAGCTTTGAGCAAGATTATGTTTAGCAATGTAAAGAGCTGACTACATCAAAATCATTAGAAGTCTAATATTTCTTTCCTTTACTAGGTTAGTATAATTTCTTACATTTTCCAGTGTCTTTTTCAAAACTTTTGTTTTCGGTTGTGTTGTTTTTAATCCTTAAACTCTATAAAGTTTCATTAATCTTCAAATCCTTTTCAGGAAACGTCTAAGAGATTTTTCAACCGATATTCCTGTTTTTCTCAACTCAGTCAAAAGAAGTGACTGATCCCTGGACTGTGTGTACACAGAAATGAATGTTCTAATAAACTTTCTTTTCCAACCTGGGATTTAGGAAGTCTTTGACAATGCCAGAGATTAGAACACAACCAAGTTGAATGTCCATGCAGGAGGGCTTCCTCCATGTGGAAATTGCAAATTCAAGGGACATTGAGCAGGAATTCCTTGGCAGTCCAGTGGCTAGGACTCCGCACTTCCACTGCAGGGGGCTCGGGTTTGATCCCTGGTTAGGGTGCTGCCTGGCAAAAAAAAAAAAAAAAAAAAGGACACTGAGCTACTTGAGCCAGCTTAGGAGAATACTGAAGAGGAAAAGAAAAGAAAGGAAAGGTGGTGGGATATAAGAAGAAAAGGGGTAAGATTTAGGCAGATTGACCAGTGAGGAAGTTTTAACTTATTCATAAATTATCTGAAGCAAGTCCCCCTAAGTGATACTAGGAGGGGAGAGGAGGGGAGGGGAGGGGAGGGGAGGAAATTCTGATTAACAGATGGCCCACTTTCTATACGCGGTGTGATGAGGCTTCCAAATGCAATTTAGAATAACAATGCCTCCTTGAAAGATGTTAGTCAAGGGTATCTTCTTAAGTGGATCCATTAGTTGCTAAAATGTCAATAACCTAAAATAGAAAATGAAATACAACAAACTAAATGCTGTATGAAATAAATACTTGTGTAATCACAGTCAAAAACTATTTCAAATCAATTTATAACACAGAATTTTGACTACACGTATTTTGTGGAATGTGTCCTAAGACCTGTGGAAATAAAGGCCAACCACATGAGAACACTCAAAGCCTATTTATTCAGATCTACAAATCATGGCTTGACAGTGCTGAATATCTAGACCTAAGAAGTGATCAAGAATGTTAACAATTAAACTTAAAAAATAGATGCTGTATGTGGCCACTACGTTGTGTACAGTACACAAAATATTTATGAAATACTCCCGTATTCAAAAACAATAATTTTTATAGCAAAGAAGTCACATTACTGAAGAATGAATAAAGTTCCAACATAAGTTTTTGTTGTTTCACTATCTTCTTAATTGCTAGAAAAAAAGAGAAACTGCTAGGACTTCCCTGGTGTCTCAGTAAATAAGACTATGTGCTCGCAATGTGGGGAGCCCAGGTTCAATACCTGATCAGGGAACTAGATCCCACATGTATGCTGCAACTAAGAGTTCACATGCCACAACAAAGGAGCCCACCTGCTGCAACTAAGAAGCCCACCTGCTGCAACTAAGACTGGGTGCAAACAAATAAAAATAAATAATAAGGGCTTACCTGGTGGCGCAGTGGTTGAGAGTCCGCCTGCTGATGCAGGGGACACGGGTTCGTGCCCCAGTCTGGGAGGATCCCACATGCTGCGGAGCGGCTGGGCCCGTGAGCCATGGCCGCTGAGCCTGCACGTCCGGAGCCTGTGCTCCGCAACGGGAGAGGCCACAGCAGTGAGAGGCCCGCGTACCACAAAAAAATAAAAAAATAAAAAATAAATAATAAGCCTGTCTCCTTAAAAAAGAGAGAGAGAGAAAGAGAGAGAGAGAGAGAAACTGCCAAAATTCTTTTTTTTGTTTTTAATTCTTTTTATTTATATATTTATTTTTGGCTGCAGATTGCGGGGTCTTAGTTCCCTGACCAGAGAACTAACCTGGGCCCTCAGCAGTGAAAGTGCAGTCCTAACCACTGGACCACCAGGAAATTCTCCCAAATTTCATTTTAAAAAACAAGCAATAGATATGCATAGATATTTTACCAAAAACAACATACAACTGGCAAATACAGGCATACTTTGTTTTATTGCACTCCGCTTTACTGCACTTTGCAGATGTTTGTTTGTTTGTTTTTAATTGAAGGTTTCTGGCAACTCTATATTGAGCAAGTCTACTGGTGCCATGTTTCCAACAGCATTTGCTTGCTTCATGTCTGTGTCACATCTTGGTAATTCTTGCAATACTGCAAACGTTATCATCATTATTATATTTCTTATGGTGATCTGTGATCTCTGATGTTACTACTGCAAAAACCTTACAACTAGCTAAAGGCTCAGATGATAGTCAACATTTTTAGCAATAAAGTATTTTTAAATTAAGGTATGTATTTTTTTTAGACATAATGCTATTGTACACCTAACAGACTACAGTATAGCATAAACATTACTTTTACATGCACTAGAAAATCAAAAACTTCATGTGACTTGCTTTATTGTGATACTGGCTTTATTGCAGTGATCTAAAACCCAACTCATCATATTTCTGAGGTATGCCTGTAAACAAATGAAAAAATGCTCAACATCATGCAACATCAGGGAAAGGCAACTAAACCATAGTGGGATACAGTTACAGACTTATTTAAAAGGTTAACATTTTCAAAGGCTAACCATACCCACTACTGGCAAGGATATGGAAAAACTGTATGTCTCATACACTGCTAGCAGGAATACAAAAGATCACAATTTGCAATTTCTTAAAAAGTTAGCTACCCACTTACCCTGTAACTCAGGCATTGCACCCGCCCCCACCTCCACCCCACCCCCCACCGCCAAATTAACACAAGATAAATGAAACATGTATGCGAAGAACTAAATTCAAATATCTTAGCAGGTTTATTTGCAACAATCAGAAACTGGAAAGAACTCAAATATGCATAAAAAGACAAAAGAATAAACAAATAGTGGTACACCCACAAACTGTCATACTTCTAAGCAATACAAAAAAAAAGACCAACTACTCATTTAAGCACCATTGATGACTATCAAAATGAGTAAGCCACATGAGGCTACTCAAAGGAAAAAAAGTGTAAACACTTTATGAGTAGAATCATATACAATTCTAAAATGGAAGCTAATCTATTATAATGGAAAGTAAACAAATGCTTGCCTGGAGAGCAGAGATAGTACAGAAGGAGACATTATTAAAGGGCATGAAGTAAAACAGAGGATGATGGAGAGGCTCATTATTATGATTGTGGTGGTGCTTTTATGGATTTACATGAATGTCAAAACTTGTCAAAATGTTAAGTTTAAATATAATCAGTTTGTTGTATGTCACTTATACCTTACTAAAGCTCTGAAAATATGATTCAAAACAGAAAGCTAGATTTCCTACAATTCTGGAAAATTAGTTTGGCAAACCTCTACTGATTCCACCAACTCTTTCCTCATGTCTGGGTGGGATACCTTGCCTTAGTGGTGGCAAATATCAGAAGCAACAAGGCAATTTCCACCAAATTCAATGGGAATGCAGGCTGGGTTACAGAGGGCACAACTCATCTTCACTATCCTCATTTTCCTACACAGCAAGAGATTTGAGGTGAACACACACACATGCTACAGGAATCCACAGAACATTTATAAATTTTTCCTCTCGCAACAGCCTCCCTACACAAAATACACAGTTCTGGAGGCCATGAGAATTTCTGCACCTGCTCATCCTTCATAGCTATAGGGACTGGAACATTGTGGAGGTCCGTTCAAAACAGACACATTCCAACAATCTTGTGGCAGTCTATTCCCCTCCCTATAAAACCAGTGTCCCTGTAACAAATGATTTCCCTGCCCATACAATCATATAACCTATGCTGCCACTATCTGGAATTCTGGACATGAGGGTACATGGCTCCAACACAAGACCTGGGAAACAGATTTCCTTTACCACCTGGACACAATGCAATACTCCCTGTGAACAAGACAGTTTCTTCTTGCTTTAGGAAGCACCAAAGGTTATCACAACAGCCCCTCTACAGACTGACCTCTGAACCAACAAAATACCAACGCATCCAGGTTACAGATAAGGATCACATCCCTGCAGTCTTTTCTTGGAGGCCTTGGGCAGCAATGCCAACTAGGACAAAACTAGAGAGAAGTATACTCTACATCATATTGTTCCCTCTGAGGTACACAGAATTTGGGATCCCACAAGAAAGCTCTTCAGCCCTGTTGTCACAACTCAAGTTGTTTTCAAATCACCACAGTGTACAGAATCCCGAGATTAAAGGAGCTTAAACAGTAAGGCCTCCATTTTCACACCAACCAGTACAATGGGAAGAAGGCTATTCCTGGATTGGAGACATGAAGCACAGGAAAATCCCATCACAGCAGTCACGTGAGACTAAAAACATCCCTGAAAAAAGTAGTCCCGGTTGCAAGTCACCAGCAGAGTCCTCTAGGCCAAAAATTGGTCAGATCAGTGAGGTAACCCATCAAACAAATTAGAAAGGAATGAGTGCTCAGGATTATAAAGACTCCCACAAACAAGACAACATCAAGGTTTCCTTCCCTGGACTCGGTGGGGTGGTTCAATGATGCACATCATGAGCACCTGCCACATAGTAGTGGTGAAATGGCTTTTGCTATGGAACTGGCAATGATGTAAACCTGGTAAGTGCCTGGGCAGGTTAAGAAATGCACTGAAGCTCCCATAAACCTGGAATTTAAGTGGTTTATTGGGTGTATTGGCAGATAGCACCCTCATAAGGGATCTCCCCAGTGTTATATTGAACAATCCATCCCTGCACAACTACTCTTTTTCTGAAGTGAACTTTGTGGTATCCGATGAAATAAGACTGAAGGCTGTGAACTCTCCAGTGTGAAATGAGGCTAGTTTGGCTAAAGGTTTCCCACACTTATCACATCCGTAAGCCCATTAACCAATGTGAACATTATGTGTTCTATGAGACTGTAGTTTTAGGTAAAGGATTTCCAACATTTCCTACAACATACGGACTTTCTGCAGTGTGGACACTCCTGTGTTTAATGAACCTGGAGTTTTTAGCAAAGGATTTCCCACATTCACAGCACTTATATGGCTTTGATCCAGTGTGAGTTCTCTGATGTTGAAAAACAGAGCTTGGGCTAACCAACTTCCCAAATTTTCTTTACTTTTATGAGTTTTCTCCAGTGAACTCTCTGATGTCGAAGGACTGAAGAACTTTGGGCAAATGCTTTCCCACACTCACTGCACTCATAAGGCCTTTCTCCAGTGTGAATTCTCCTGTGTTTAATGAAGGCTGAATTATCAGCAAAGGATTTTCCACATTCAGTGCACTCATAAGGCCTTGAACCAGTGTGAAGTCTCTGGTTGACAAAGAGCTTTGATTAAAAGTTTTCCCACATTTGCTGCACTCATAAGGCCTTTCTCCAGTGTGAATTCTCTGATGTTGAAGGAGTGCAGAGTTTTGGCTAAATGATTTCCCGCATTCGTTGCATTTATATGGCCTTTCCCTTGTGTGAACTCTCTGATGTATAATGAAGTGGGATTTCTTGCTAAAGAATTTCCTACATTCCCCACACTCATATGGCCTTTCACCAGTGTGAACTCTCTGGTGTTCAATGAGATGGGACTTGTTGCTAAGTAATTTCCCACATTTCCCACACTTATAAGGTCTTTCTCTAGTATGGACTCTCCAATGTTGAATAAGGTTGGGCTTTTGCCTAAATGATTTTCCACACTCCCCACACTCATAAGGCCTTTCTCCAGTGTGAACTCTCTGATGTCGGAGGAATGAAGAGCTTTGGCAAAATGTTTTTCCACATTCACTGCATTTATAAGGCCTTTCTCCAGTATGAACTCTCCTATGTTTAATGAGTCTGGAGTTTACAGCAAAGGATTTTCCACATTCAGTGCATTCATAAGGTCTTGATCCAGTGTGAAATCTCTGATGCTGAAGGAGCACAGAGTTTTGTGTAAAAGTTCTACCACATTCATTGCACTCATAAGGCCTTTCCCTAGTGTGAATTCTCCGATGTTGAAGGAGGGTAGAGCTTTGGCTAAACGATTTTGTATATTCATCACATTCATATGGCTTTCGTTTCATGTGAACTCTCTTGTGTGTAAAGAGGTTGGAGCACTGAGTAAATGATTTCCCACATTATGTACATTCATAAGGCCTATCTCTAGTGTTATATCTCTGGTGTTCAATGAGGTTGGAGCACTTAGTAAATGATTTCCCATATTCTGTACATTCATAAGGCCTATCTCTAGTGTTACTTCTCTGGTGTTCAATGAGGTTGGACTTTCTGTTAAATAATATCCCATGTTCCCCAGGTTCAAAAGTTTTCTCCATTGTAAACTTTCTGATGCTGACTGACGTTACAGCTTCTCTCACACTGATTACACATAAAACATCTTTCTCTAGTGAGGAGTCTCTGGTGCTGAACAAGTGTGTGTTTGGGGCTGAAAGCTTTTGTGCATTCTTTCCAGTTATGATAAGTTTTTCCCCTCTGAAAGGTCATCCCACACTCAGCTCTGCTGTTCGACCTCTCCCAGTGTGAGTAGCCCATTGCTGGAGAAACTGAGAGCTGGCCAAGAAGTCCTTCCCAAACACCCTGAAGACTAATGGCTTCCCTGACACATGGTACTTGCAGTTCTTCACAAATGAGGCTCTGTCCACATCTCTTCTGAAGGGTTTCTCCCCGATGCACTGCTTCTGATGCTGATGAAGGTTTATGCTTACATACAATTGTTTCCCACATGTTTCACACCTATGTAATTTCTGCTTTGAATGTGTTCCTTGATATTCATTCAAGTACAAAAAGTCTCTCAATATCTGGACACATATTTCACAAGGGTGGGCCTTTTTGAAGGACAGATTTGCCTTGGGACTCCTGATCTGTGACACTCTTTGAATAGAAGTACGCTGCTCAAAAGAAGCCTTCTCATTCTCCACTTCATGGCAACAACCTAAAAGCAAGAAATGTTGGTGAAGTACATGTTGATTTCCGTGGGAGGGGGGAGCTCACACACCAGTGTGTGTCTGACAAACACATGAATGAGTTTGTGTGATTATTTACAAGAACACAGAGTTGGGTTCAATTTGATGACATGGTTGTTAGCAATACTGGGCTATAAAGGCCACAGGATGGGGGAAGACCACATGAGAGAAAAGACACAACCATATGATGTGTCATAGGGAGGAGAGGCAGGGTGAAAAATTAAAGTCGACGGTTAAAAAATTAGTTACAAACAACTGTCAGCAGGACCTTGTCTGCTGCTAACACATGACTGCAATGTAGATGGGTATTTCCAGGCCCAAGAAAACGGGACTGCAACAGAACAGCTGTTGGTCAGGAACATTTTAAGAATGGGTACATGTTTGATTATAGAAAATATATGGGCCAACGTTAGAGAATGCACAGATAAAGCAGTGAGAAAAGTGGGTGATACAGGGAGTTTAGAGACGTGAGGATTAACCACAGGCTGGAATAAAATTGGAAGAATCACAGTGCAGAATTGACAAGTCAGCACTGTTAAGAATGGGGCAGAAAAAGCAAAAATAAGGTGTGGCCACTGGAAGTAGCATCAAAACACTAGTCAAACAGAACAAATTTCTGGTATCACTTGAACACAGGGCTATCATACACTCCCATAGTGCTACTGTACAGCGGCCCTTTGAGCCCATTTGGCTGAGTCTGAATTCATATCCATCCTGTGGACAAACAAGGGCTCTCCACCCCACTTCCAAAATGAACAAGTGTATGGGACCTGGATGATGAAAATAACAGGGGAAAGATACCACCTATGAGCAGCTGACCCATACTCATCACATCATAGGCCAGAGAAAAACATCTAAATACTATTAAGAGAACTTTGGAAAGGGGTCTTGCAAGAAGTCCATGGTCTACATCAGAGAATTAATTCCCAGCACAGGCAGTCATGAGGAAATGTCAGTGAAAAGAAGGAAGTAGAATCTGAGGCGCAAGGATGACATGCATCTGGACAACATCACCCAGAAGGAAGAGGGCAAGTATGGTGGGATACATTAGGCTGAGTGGAAGATTCCTGACCCTGGATCCTTCCAGGGAAGGCTGTAGAGAAGCAGATATGGGGCCTATTCAAGGAGAACAGATGGCAGTGCAAACATCTCAGCCCAACCAACCACAGCAACAACTTAGGGAATTGGGGGAAAAAAGCAGTGACAATGGTCCTGACATGAAAAGGACAGACTTGTCTCTGGGGAAAAGGAAAGGGCAGAGACTAGTTCAGGACATGGGGAAAGGTTTGAGGTTCTTACCCAGGGAGGTTATAAGTGCCAAGTTCTCCAGCATCACATCATGGTACAAGTATCTTTGAGCCTCATCAAGGAGACCCCATTCCTCCCAAGAAAAGGTCACAGCTACATCTTCAAAGTTCACACTGACCTGCCATGATGGTGACAGATAAAACCACAAACAGTCCACTTCTGAGAAGTCACAATCTATTTCCCCACACATCTACCCTATGACTATCCATCACCCAAGCTTCCCAAATCAGAGGATCAATCAGGCCCTGTGACCATGGTGTGGTTTTCTCCCCACGAGCCCACTGATCACTAGGTACAACAACCAGAAGAAGAGGCAGGTGCATGAACATATAGCTCAGCTATAGGCCTGGCATAAAGGGATCCACCCCCTCCTGACAAGCAATTCCCCTGGTGTGGCCATCATCCTGAAATTATCAATGCAGTGCCCTGGAACCATCAGACATGTTCCCTCTTCAAGCACACATCACTCCTTAAACTGTACATCCCTCAGTCTCAGTATCCCACAGCCACACATGACCATGGCCACCAACACCTCACTCTCCCACACCATAGTCATCTCCCTCCCCTCCCCATGTTACTTGTATTTAAATCAGTTCCTCCTAACCCCACCACAGGGCTATGATGGTGGCCTAACACATGACACCTGAGACTGGACCGATGAGACTGACAGCAGTTTCTTAATCACATAAATTCACACCTCTGAGAATAGGACACCACTCACCACAAAGGAGTACATGGGCAAAAACAACACACACAGGGGCTGTGGGATGGAACCTTTCTAGGATGAAGGGGTTGGGATGTTCCAAGGAGGATGTGATTGTCTTATCTGAACAATTCTGAGTGCTGGTAGGGAACTGATACCTGATACAAAGAAGCTCCTGGTTTGCTTTGTAAAAATGGTTGTTAAGTTAGGAGACGTTATCTGAAGGAACACTGTGGGGAGAGGAACTTGCACTCAGGCCATTTGAGGGCACCCAGGTTTCACCAAGCGTGAAGGAAGCACATCATATTGGGTTTAGGCCTTACACCACAACTCGGCAGACAGCATCCACAGTACAACTGGTAAAGTCAAACAGGACCCAATATGACCACAGACCTCCCACAATTCCCAATGGCAGCATCAGAAATCATCTATAAATGCCTTACTGCATGACTCTGATCCTTGCCTCAAATTTAAGGAATAGAACCACGTGTGGATCTCAGATACTCATAGTCCCATGCTACTTCTGTGCTGCCCTTCCTGTCCCTCGGCAATGACAACACTTCTCTGCTCCCTTACCTTCATTCATACTCCAGCCCCATTACTCACCCTCCCCAAGCCTAGTGATTCTCACAGATGACCTTATTTGCTCATGGCCATGTATACCAGGTTGAATGAAGCACCCCAGGCCCTACCAAAGTCCTCACAAATGTTGGTGAGCCTATATAGTGGTGAATAAGCACCAGATCTGGCCTGAGTGTCATATGCATGAATTACCCCTTGCTTCTACATCCATCTCATGTCCACTCTTCTCTTGGAAGCCCTGGCCACCTGTCAGAATTTCTTGTCTCATACACCAAATCTTCATGGCCATTTACCTACATTTATGAAGGCTGACACCATCACCCAGGTACACAAGCATGAGACCCAATCCTCTGACCCCACCCTCCACACCTCTCCCCCTAAAAGCTTTGCCACCACAACCCGAAGCTTGCCTCTCCTAATGTGAGCCACAGGTCATTCACCTTGGTCCACACTCTAGTTACATTTTGGATGTCTCTAACCTGAACCACTCCCAAGAATTCCAAACCTGTATGTTAGATGTTCATTTGATGCCTTTATTCAGTGGTGTCTGAAATATCTCAGACTCTTAACATGGTCCAAAAAAAGCTCCTGCTAAACCCAGTGAATATTACACCTACTACCAACTTGCTCATCTCAACTGATGCAGCTTCCAACCCTACAGCTGCAAAGCCAGGGGTCATCATTGATCCCTGCGTTTCACTCCCTCACCACACATGTTAGAAATCTAGCTGTCCCCTTTAAAAACATGCAGCCAGAATACAACCACATTTCCTAAGGCACGCCCCTGCTCCATTAACCCTCACCTGGACTATGATAGTAGCCTCCACAATGATGCTCCTTCCTCTCTCAAGCCCACAGTCTGTTTTCCATTCTAAACCCAAATGAAACCTGTTAAGGCCTTGGTCACATCCCTCCCTACCGTGAGCCAAACCTCTAGAACGCACACCTGACATCTCAGGCAGTTGTTCCCCTCCTGACTCCAAACCACCTACTATTTATTCCTACCTGTAAAGAGAGGATACCTGTGGTTCCTGAATATTCCTGAGCTCAATTTTACCTCTAAGCATTTGCACATCCTGGTACCATTTCTTGGGTTAGCCATACACACCTGTTTACAATGGTTGCCAGAAATGGGAACGCCTCCATATAATTGTAGCATGGACTTGGGACACTGGGCTTGGAGTTTTTCTGCATCCCCAGACTCAAGGAGGGGGAGAAATGGCATCAAGCATCTCAGGACACCACAATTCCAGGGAACATAGGGGTGAAAGCAGGGCTGGTGAGGCAATGGGACACCCTCTACTTCCCTGTGCAGGTTCCATAGGCACTTCTCTAACCGTGAGAACCTGAGTGAAGAGGCAGGTCCTAAAGGAATGCGTCCATGGTGGGATTTGAGGGGCTCACTGTATGTTCTCCTGCCTGGCCTTGGAGCCAGGTGACCTCAGGCTGGCTGACTAACTTCAGGGCCTCAATGCTTAGTGTTGCCTCTTACCAGCTGTGGGACCCTGAACAAAGATTCAACCTCTTAGGACCTCAATGTCCTTATCAACCCTCTCCACCCTGTTCTTCCTTTAAACGGCTCTTGGGAATGCTCTAACCTCTGACGGGAGATACTATCTTCCTTTATTCGAAACACCCCATGGCCTTTAGAATCCTCACAATAAAGTACAATCCTGGGTCGGTTACACCAGGTCTAACTCCACTAACACTGTTCCCTGTAAGCAGAAAGCTGACCCTAGGTTTCCTGAATCCTCCCGCCTCAGGCCGATTTCCAAGCCTTCGCATCTGCGGGTACCTCTGCCTGTGACCTCTCCCACGTGCCATCACGCTGTCATAAACAGGGCCCCACCCACGACCGCTTCACTGTCCTGTGCACCGTGGCCTGGGCTGCGGGCATGTGAGCAGGCGCCCCGCACTCGGGGCTTTAATGTCCGGTGGAGTGAGGGGTGTGAGGGCCCGGGGAACGAGCGTTTACCTAAGGCGGGTACTTCAAGGCCGCCGCCATCGGACTGTGGGCGGAGCGGGGCCGGGAGCGGCGGAAGAGTCTGGGGGACGCGGGCATAGCGGTCCGTCTCACGGGCCTGGCGCCGGGCACACCAGGCGGCGTCGCCGAACTTCATATCCGCCTCTGTGCCTCGGGGACAGCGCCTCCTCCCGGACCTCCCGTTCCAGTCACTCCGGTCCTGACACAGCGCTCCGGAGCTGAACAGAACCAGAGCAGTTAAAATGCCTACCTTGGGGGCTTCCCTGGTGGCGCAGTGGTTGAGAGACCGCCTGCCGATACAGGGGACACGGGTTCGTGTCCCGGTCAGGGAAGATCCCACATGCCGCGAAGCGGCTGGGCCCGTGAGCCATGGCCACTGAGCCTGCGCGTCCGGAGCCTGTGCTCCGCAACGGGAGAGGCCACAACAGTGAGAGGCCCGCGTACCGCAAAAAAAAAAAAAAAGAAAAAAAATGGCCGCCTCGGGGAGGAGGCCGGAAGTCCCGTCCCCTACGAGTTGTGACCAAACGGAAATCCCTTTTTCTGCGCCTTCACTGGCTCAGCGACACAGCCTTCAACGCAGGGCACTCTGGATCCTGCAGTTCCCAGTTTCCAGGAAAAAAGGCCAGGGTCCACCTCAAAGGGCGCCAGGAAATGACTCCTCCCTGTCCACGGCCAGAGCAGTGACTCGACCCTCTTAAAAGGGGCCAAACGTAAGGGTGGTAGGGATGCGTTCTGCAGCTGATCGCCATTAGGCATCCAGGCCATGAATTAGGATGACAAATCCTTCCCAGGATGGCAGGGGCAGCAGTGCAAATTCTGTAACGAAACATTTTGTTCATTTTATCCTGAGTATTTGTAAATTTTTCTTGGTTATAAGGCAAACATTTAAAAACATTTCCTTCATGCCGTTATGATTCTCATTTGTAGAATTGTAATTTATTTCCGGATACTAATCTTAAATATGGCAAACTTGAGGAAGTGTAAATATGCCAGATATTCACGACGTAATTTTTTGAAATTCTTCTATGTAGATAATCGTACATTTTGATATAAATTAAAGGTCTGTAAATCGTTTTCCAGTTATTTTAATTCTTTATTGTCTGTGTCATAGCACCAGCTAGAATGTCCAGTATATTTAATATAAGCACTAATAATGAGCCTTGTTTGCTTGCTAATTTTAAACCAAAATCTCTGATTTATTACTAAAATGTTGGTTTATTGTAGTGTTTTCTTTGATACATTTTGACTAATTAATGATATATATATTTTTCTGCATAGTTGTGGTGTTGTTTTCTAATGTGAATTGATCTATTTTTTCTGCATTTATTAAGATAAACGTTTTATAATTCATTAGTATATTGAATGCTATTAATGTATTTTCTAATACTAAACCATTCTTGAATTACTGAGATGCTTTTAACTTGTTCTACATTCTGGAAGTGCAGCTAAATTTAATAAGTTTTATGAGAATGCTATGCTAGTACCATAAAATGAGTTGGGGAATACAAATCTCTGAAAGATTTGGAATAAGTTTGGATTCCTCATTTCAGTGAATAATTCATATAACTCCCTTTCTACAAATCAGGGTCTTCCTACAAATCTGTCAGATAATTTAAAAGTAGGAAGTGTCAAATAGGTGTGATATTTGTTAGTTTGATCAAGAAAGACATGTCTGGGGACTTCCCTGGCGGTCTAGTGGTTAAGACTCAGCACTTCCAGTGCAGGGGGTGAGGGTTCAATCCCTGGTCTGGCAACTGGGATCCTCCCACATGCTGCACAGCCAAAAGATTAAAAAGAAAAAAAAAAAAAAGACATGTCTGGCGGGTTGACTTATTTATGGTTTCATTTTGTTATTTTATTTTTTAATCAGATTTACTGAGTTATAATATAAAACTATAAGACACCAATGTGTACATCGTGCTGATTTGACATATGTATACATTGAAAACAATCCCCCCATCTATTTAATTAAGACATCACCTCATATATTCATCTTGTGTGTGTGTGAGAGAGAAAACATTTAAGTAATACTCTCTACGCATATATCAATTATAAAATACAGTGTTATCCACTATACTCATCGTGTTTTACATTAGATGCTCAGACGTTATTCATTTTATACCTGAAAGTTTGTTTCCTTTCACCAACCTCTCCTGATTTCTTCCACTGCCCCCCTTAACCCCAGTAGCATTTATACTCTCTATTTCTATGAGTTTGACTTTTTAAGGTTCTGCATAAAAGTGATACTATACAGTATTTGTCTTTCTCTGTTTCACTTATTTCATGTGGCACAATGCATTAAAGGTCCATTGATGTTGTCACAAATGGCAAGAGCTCCTTCTTTCTCATGGCTATGTAGTATTCATATATATATATGGGCTCCCTATATATATCACGTCTTCTTTATCCATTCGTCCACTGATGGACACTTAGGTTGTCTCCGTATCTTGGGAATTGTGAAAAATGCTGTAATGAACATGGGAGAGCACATATCAATATCCTGTTTTCATTTCCTTTAGAATTATACCCATATGTGGAATTGCTGGATAGTAGGGTAGTTCTATTTTTAATTTTTTGAGGAAACTCTCTACTTTTTTCCACAGTAGTTGCACTAATTTACATTCCCAGAATCGGTGGACAAGAGTTCACATTTCTCAACATCCTAACACTGTTATCCCTTGTTTTTTGATGACTGCCATTCTAACGTGTGAGGTGATATTTCATTATGGCTTTGCTTTGCATATTTAGTAATGTTGAACACATTTCCATGTACTTGTTGCCCATTTTTATGTATTCTTTGGAAAATATGTCTATACAGTTCCATTGCTCATTTTTAAATTATTTACTTTGCTATTAAGTTGTATGAGTTCTTTATATATTTTAGATATTAACCCCTTATCAGATGTATGATTTTCAAATATTTCCTGCCATTCTGTATATTCCCATTTCATTTTGTTGATGGTTTCCTTTACTATGCAGACGCTTTTTCGATTGATGTACTCCCACTTGTTTATTTTTGCTTTTATTATCTTTGCTTTTTATGTCAAACCCAAAAAAATCAATGCCAAGGCAAATGAAAAGGAGCTTTCACCCTATGTTTTCTTCTAGAAGTTTTATAGTTCCAAGTGATGTGTTCAAATCTTTCGTCCATTTTGAGTTGATTTTTGTGTATGGTGTAAGATAGGGTTACAGTTTTGCTCTTTTGTGTCTCTCTGTTCCCCAACGCCATTTATTGAATAGACAATCCAGTCCTCATTGTGTATTCTTGACACCTTTGGTGTAAGCAAATTCACCGTACGTGCACATGTTTATTTCTGGGCTCTATATTCTGTTCCATTGATCTATAGCTGTCTCTATGCCAATGGTGGGATTTAAAAGCTTAATTCCAATCCCTCATACTATACTGGGAGTATGATTGCATATTTCTAAAATTAAATACACTCTGTAAATATTTATTGTGATTAAGTTCATGCAATAGTCTGTAATGAGACTGTGTCCTTCCCATACCTCCATTCACAGAATCTTTACAATAGCGTCAAGGGTATGTTTCAGTAAATGACAGAGACTTGAATGATTTCCAGTTATCTATGTAGATAACCAACTAACTTTTGCCCCCAGTAGTCATAAGGTCATTTCTAACCCAGTCAGAAATGAATAATTTTATGATGAAACATTAATATGTCATTATTCTTTTGTCTGATGACAAATAGCTGATGGACACTGTTAAGCAATGAAGCCATAGTAAATAAAGCATTTTATTTACCACACTGACATGACCCCACCATGTCACACAGTCAGAACCTTCAAAGTGAGCACTCTCTGACTTGGTTCGCTAACTTTGACTTTCTCAATTACCTCATTTCTTTGCATTTCTGCCCCCTATTCATTTTCCTTTTTTTTTTTTTTTTGTCCATGCCATGGGCTTCCGGATCTTAGTTCCCTGACCAGGAATTGAACCCGGGCCCCCAGCAGTGGAAGTGCAGAGTCCTAACCACTGGACCAGTCCTAACCCTGACCAGGAATTCCCCCTCTATTCATTTTCTATTGCCCTTGCAACAAATTATTACAAACTTAGAAGCTTAAGACAGTTTCTATAGACAACATATAGTAGGATCTTGGTTTTCTACCTACTCTGAAAATCTCTTGTAATTGGTCTTCTGCTGTTCAAAGTGATTACTAATAGAGTTGGATTAATATATACCACATCTGTTACTAATTTGTGTTTGTTGCCCTTGCTCTTTGTTTGAATTTTTGTCTCACACTCTTTACCTGCTTTATGTGGTTTTCACTGAGTGTTTTATGATTCCATTTTATCTTGTTAGCATATCAGTTATATTTTTAGCTGTTCCTATAGTTTGCAGTAAACATCGACAACTAATCCAAGTCCACTTTCAAGTAACGCTTTTTCCACTTCATGTAGTGTACCTCATAATAATAAAATAATCCCAATTCTTCCCTCTAATCCCTTGTATTATTGATGTCATTCATTTCACTTATATAAAAGCATAAGCATACACACACACACACACACACAAGACATGCATACAGATAAGCATACATAATAGAATATGTTGTTTTTATTACTACTTCAAATTGTTATGTTAGATCAATTAAGAACAAGAAAAATAATACTTTTTTATTTTTCCTTCATTTATTACTTCTTCACTGATCTTCTTTATGTAGATTGGACTTTTTGACCTATATCATTTTTGTCATCTCTAAAGTTTTTTAAACATTTCTTGCAAGGCAGGTGCTATGGTCTGAATGTTTGTGTTGTCCCTCCAAAATCTCTGTTGAAAGAATAACCCCCAAAGATGCTAGTATTAGGAGGTGGGGACTTTGAGAGATGCTTCAGTCATAAGGTGATAGAGCCCTCATGGGTGGAATTAGTCCCTTTATAAAAGACGCTCCAGAGAGGCCCCTAGCTCCTTCTATCACATGAGGACACAGCAAGAAACCACCTGCTATGAACCAGGAAGAGGGTTCCCACCAGAGAACTCGACCATGTTGGAACCTGTACTCCACAGCCACCAAACATATGAGAAAAAAATATTTATTTTTTTATAAACTA